ACTCATGATAATGAAGAAATAATTGGATTTTGCTTAAACCAGAATTATTAAACTGCAACTCAATATTGTTATGAATGTTTAAATAGCATAAACGTGTTCTATTATTATATCTGATTTTTATTATTTAGTTTTTTCATTCATGCATTTTCTCCAAACATAAGCATAATTTTTTTAATCTTGAATTTTATAATCAATACACAGATATGTAAATAATAAAACATATTTCTATTCCAAACAATTATGAATATAGCTATTATAATTTATTATTAATAGCTTATTCTTAACATCAGACTACGTAATTATTGATTGGTTTTTGTAACATAAGAATATTCTTAATAATTACTGTAATTCATATTTAAGCAGTTACTTTTTTTTAATGTCTATAATATTCAATATTTTTACTCCTTTTACTCTACAAGATATCTTTGCACTTTGGAGGAAGAGCTAATAATTCGATTGAGCCTTTTTCTCATTTCTTTCATAATATATTTCTTAATTATTCTAAATCTGTTTAAAACATATTTATTAAACCAGCCGATTTACTAAATTTCTTTACTTTAATTTGGATACTTTTGAAAAGTAATTAATTTTTAGGGAAGGATAATTTAAAATGAAACAATAATAATTAATTTAAGAAATCACAAAATAAACTTAAAAACCAGAAAAATGAGGAAATCTGTCCAGTTCAAAATTTGGAAAAATTTTTTGAAGAAATTTCACACTATTTCATCTAAATAATATGATTTTTCTTTCAATATATTTTACGTTAAATTAGGCGAACAATCTTTTTATACATAGAGTAATAATACAATGATATAATTTTTGATACTTTATGTCAATTAATAATATGTAAACAAAGAAATCTTAGAATCAAAAATTATTTGCTTTTAATAATTAAATAAAGTATTCTATTTGATTTACAGTCCATATATTCTTATTTAGATACATGTTTTTTTTATTAATTTATTTGATTTATACTAATAACTTGATCATTAAGCATTAAAAAGTCTTCTTTTATTTTAAAAAGATGGATTTAAGATCCAATTTTATACAATAACACAAATTTAGTTCTAATAAATATCTAAGAACAAATAAAAATACAGTAAGTTACTCTTTTCAGTGGATTATATTATGTTGTGAGAAATTCTCTGAAACCTTCTTTTCTTGAATATAGCTCCTTTACTTTCTAATTTATGGCTGAAAAGTGAAAAGAAAATCATCTTATTAAAGTCTAAGCCTACTCCCAATTAATTTTTACGAATCTAATTTACTTCATTCAATAAAATCATAGTCTCTTGAAAGATGCATGAAATCAACTAATTTTTCGATTGATTTAATGATAATGAATTAATTTCTTAATTATGATAGGTTAAAGTTTATAAAGTAACAAATTTAACAACTTTTTTTTATGATATTTTTATAAGCTCCTCTAATAATTAAATTTTCCTTATTGACGCAACCTAGCAACAAATATATCCTGAATAGCCATCAAGTTATTATTAACACATGCCCATTTTCTCGCTATACCCAACCTATTAATAAATAACTAAATAACTAAAAAATTATCTCCAGCCCAAGAAAAATAATTGAATTCTTTTTCATGATATATCAAT